GCGAGGCCGTAAATGGCATTGTAGGTGAGGATGAGGATCTTGAATTCGAAAGCAGAACTAGGAAACAACTCCCATGATGCCCAATGACGCTGTCGCAATTGCAACTTTCATTGAAACTTTACCGAGCCTCTGGAGTATAAGCTAATCGTAGCATTAATTTAGCTGCCGATTTTATGGAACCTACCTGCATACAGAACTAGACTGATTCCAGAGCAGCAACGCCAATAAGAGATACTGCAAAGGAGATCATGGTAGTTGTTTAAAAGTTAGGTTTGAAATTTTCATTTTCATCCCAGAAATCTCCCTCATGTTTAGAGAAGGTCAATAAAGGCCATGCATGACTAGTCTGCCCTGGGCAGCTTAAACATCCACTCAGCCAATGGCTACAGAAAATGGAGGCCAATAACACCAGAGGCAGTATTTAAAATTGCTGCCTCTCAAGGCGCATATGAAACCACCTCATGGTTGGCCTTTGTGTTCTCCTAACACAGCTTCATTTACATTGTAGGCAGAAAGATACGCACTTAAGCATACATTAAAATATCAGAATTAGCCAATAAAGGAACTTGTATACCATTTTCCGGTAGCTGTTTTTGCTTGCGAGAATTGCCTCTTCTCACTCCCCACCTTGTTTGATTACCCATTTGCACCTCAGATGAATTTACAAAAGTATTAAAATGATGTTCTAATGTTTTTTGAGTAGCTTAGAGAGAAAAAAAACTACAAATAAATCTATTCACAACTAGGTTTATAGGAAGAAATATTCGGGAAAGAAAGTATTTAAACTTAGTCCAAAAGGGTGATAAAAAGGGAAAGTGCGGTTCTGAAGAATTGCCAAGCAGAAAACAGAAGGTTTACAGTTAAACTGGTTCATTAGACAGAGATTAAAACATTTTAATATGTTTTGTGACAAATACTTTGCAGTTCTAAATTGTGTTCACTGATCTATGCTCCCTACAACAAGCACATCACTTTTTATTATGGTGGTAGGTCAGTGACAAATCAACAACTAGTCTTACGAGCTTAACGCTAAATCCTGCTATGACAATTCTTACACATATATGCTAAAATTTGGAACTTCCTCCTTTCAGCCCAAATTAAAATAATAAAAAGAAACTCCAGAATTTACACTTTTAATACATAGTTACCACTAAAATTTCCTATCCCTCTACCAACCTGCTTGCTCTCTCCGCTCAGCGGGCTCCGGTCTGCCTCAAGCTCCCACCTCACGCGCTCCACCATTGGCGAGTGGGCCTTCAGCCACTCAGCGCCCACCCTGTGGAACTCCATCCCGCATTCCCTCCACCTCACTCCCTCCCTTGCTTCCTTCAAACCCCTCCTCTTCGACCGTACCTTCAATCACCCTCCTCCCCCACCCTCCACACTCCCCGATCCCAACCCCCAGCTCGGGTCCGAAACACTGATTGTCCAGTGCCTTGGGACATCCTCCCGCTGTGAAAGGCGCTATAAAAATTAAATTTTGTTGTTGTTGTTGTACATCTTCAACCATTCCCTTGACCTAATCAATATTTTCCCATTCAGGCAGAACTCCTGTCCTTTTCTATGTTCCTGAGGGCATGGTTCCATCTCACCATTATTAAGTGCCAAACCTTGACACGAAATGTCAATAGCCAAATGGACTGTACAGATATTGCAACCAAGTCCTATTCAATCCTCACCTGATATTCACCTCCTGTAGGAACCCAGGCTCAATTTCCCTTCCCAAACCCTCATGCTGAAACCAATGTTAGTACTTTGGCTAAGATCAACTAACCCAGCTCAGTACGATCCTCCAAGCCTCTGCTACTCATTCTCTAAATTAACCAAATCATCAGGGGAGCAAGACTAATCAATTTTATCATTTTGGTGTAAAAGTTTCAAAGTTAGAAGGGTGCAAATTTAACCGAATTTCTGGCATAAAACTACTTGGGAAATATGAGCCTTTGGTCATCAGAAGATGTCATGACACCCCGCTAGCAGCTAACGTATAAAGGAAACTAAAGACAGCACAGTATTAACCTTAGTTTTTTTGTAAAAAAGATATGTTCATAGTTGAGTGCTAATTAAGTAGATGGGGATTTTAGTTTAAAAGAAACACTATTTCAACCATGATAATTAAAGTGCTCTATCTGTTTAAATATTTTCTACTCACCAAAATAGATGAGAATTTACAGAATTCTTGTTTTTCTATATTTCCGAAAACAATTTAGACTCCAATTATGTGTGGTCAGTTTCACCACACTGCTACTGCAGACTGACACTGGCCAAGTGGACAAAGTGACTATCTATAAAGGCCACAGAACAGAAGGTTGTGACATGTGCCAAGCTATCTGATAAGCAAGACTGGATTAAGACACCAATTGGATTTCATGCCCTTGGGCTATGTGGGGTGGATAGAAAATCGGTCTAGGCTAGTACTTCTGATCAATACCAGTGGCCCAAACTGGGAAGGACATTGAGGGGGAAGATGAGACTGATTTTTTTTTGGACAGCCGGGTGTCTTGACAGACGTGGAAACCCATCACCATGTTACAGTATTCAAACCAGAGTTGAATGCATCCTGCCTATACATAGAATGTTTGCCTACAAACTACAGTAATGACATAAATCGTGTGATGCACTCTGTGACAATGTCCTCATGTGAAAGGTACTACATCAAATACAAGGATTATTATTATTATGTTGCCAGAAGTTCACGCAAATTAGAAATGTTACTGCGTGGGTTTTTCACTTATAAATTCTAATAACTAATTACAAAGTGGACTGTGCACAAATAAAGATCCAGTTTATTTTACAAGTGGAAAGTCATACTTGTTGCACAATATTTTTTTAGTTACATTGTTCAAACTGCCCGCCTCTTGATTATCGGATTTACCTTTAACTGAAAAGCAGAAGATTCCCACCAGGCTGCGAGCAAAATCCTACTGAAATGCTATTTTCTGTGGAAAAGAACCCAGCGCACACTTTTGGCTGACGATTTCCCACCATCCATGTGCAGGCACTAAACGGCAGAAGCATGAAGCGCAATCGCAGATACTCGGTTCAAAAAATTCTAACCGACAGCCTAAATATGCTTGGGTTTGGATCTGCAGAACCAAGTTTGAATGAAACACTTCACCAAAATCGCACACACTGTGAATTTTACAAACAGAAAAAAAAAACAATTCACCTCAAGACCAGGTAAAACGTGCAAACCTGTATATCCGTTCAGACCGCTCCTTTTCTTAACGTTTAAATACACTTTACCAGCCATCGATTCTTGTTGCAATGATCTCTCAGGTAACTCACTCGAGAACTGGATTGTCGACTTAAAATTTACCCTTCCAAAATCCAGACAAGTCGTGACCGGGCGGGTTCCCACACACAGCTGATGTTCTCTTCATCTTATTTTTGCTTTTAAAGAGATGGCTTCCCATACATAATATAGTAGTAGTAGTTTTTTTTTTGGGGGGGGGGTCAGATTGAGCATGCTGCACGTTACAAATCGCATGGTAAGCATTTTCATCTCTTTTGCCTTTTTTCTTCCCCCCCCCACCCCAACATGTATAAAATCAACCTCTTCCCACTTTTTTTTGGGGGGGTGGGGATATAAAATACCAAACAACAGGGGAGGGGGGGGGGGAAGGCAGTCGAACTGTTTTCGTGTTTGAGGCCGATAAGAAACTTAGGGGCGGTGAAAGGAACTTCCCAGTCACCACAAACCAGGGCAGATAAGCGGGTGACCGTGCAAACCCGCATTGATAATACCGATTGGAGACTTTGAACCCACCCCCTCCCACACTGAAAAAACACACACACACACACACACAAATACACACACACACAAAACTTATTCGTGATCCTGGGTCCCCGACAGCAGCGTCAATAAGTAACTGCCCTCACACCACGTGCAGGACGATCTGCTGCTGCTCCCCCTCCCCACCACCACCACCCCCCAAGCTCTCTGGCCGCCATACTACTGACCATCCGCCGTCCATATTAAATATGCAACGGACCACACGTACGCCTCTTGACGCTTTCGATGTTTCCAAATTGGGGGGGAAAGGGGGAGGACAGAGATAGAGAGGGGGGGAGGGAGAGGGGAGGGAGTGTCGCTTGTCGCTGCCGTGGGGAGGGATGGGGGAGAGGGAGAGGGGAGGGGGGGAGAGCGTGGCGTGTTGCCCTTGTTCTTCTTCAGAGCTTCAGTCCAATTCCATGTGACAACCCACTCAATCTGCGGCACCACCCGCCCGCCCGGTAAATGCAGAGGCTGCAATGAATCATCAACCGGTTCGTCCCCTCCTCAAACAGACATCACCTCCACCCCTTCTCTCTCTCTCTCTCTCCCCCTTATCCCAATTATATATATATATATATATATGTGGCTATAAAGGGTGCCATTTTTTTGTTATAATGTGTTATACAGCGGCCTGTAACAGGAGGGGGAGGGGGGAGAACCCTCGTTGCATCGAACACTAGAAATCTTACAAATGTGTATATTATAATTACCAGAGATATATTATATTTATATATATATATAGAGAGAGAGAGAGAGAGGAATAAATGCTGAGAGCCAACGAGGGGAGGACATCTTAGGAGAAACACCCATAGAAGGAGGGAGGGAGAGAGAGAGAGAGTGGGTGGTGGTGGGGGGAGGGGAAGCAGCGTGGTGTCGGTGCGGGGATGCGAGAGAGAGAGAGAGAGAGAGCGAGCGGGTGGTGGGGGGGGGGGGGCGAGAGAGAGAGAGAGAGAGAGACTCCGGGCCTCTCGGGGAGGGGAGGGGGGCAGTCAGGCCCGGAGGGGCCCCAGACGTGGACCTCACTGTACGTGTGTACTTTACTCCCCGCGTGAAGAAGGCGGAGAGAGAGAGAGAGGGAGAGGGAGAGAGAGAGAAGGAAAAAAAAACCACACACATTAAAGTCTCCCCTCTCTCTCTCTCTCTCTCCCCCACACACAACCCCTCACCTCCCCGCCCCCCCCCCCCCCCTCTCTCTCTCCCTACCTCCCCCCCTTTTTTTTACCTTTAAATTGTCACTAGCCATTTTCGCTGCCTTTGAATGAGATAACTCATGCTTCCCCGTTTGCCGCCATGTTGTCTCGGACGTGAGGCCCGTCCGTCCGTCCGTCGCCCGCCCGCCGCCGCCGCGCCTGCGCGCAGGGGCGGGGTGGGCAACCCCTCGCCTCGCTCCCATTGGTCCGTCCCGCCCCACCGCCGCCAACACCCGCAGCTCTCATTGGCCGGTTTCCCCACCGCCCAGCGCTCCGACACGCCCACCCCCCTCCCCACCCCGAGCTGCTATTGGCTGACCCGCCCGCCCGCTCTCCGCTGATTGGTCGGTTCATCGTGCGGCTCAGCCATTGGCGGGGGAGAGAGGAGGCGGCATCCGATTGGCCGCTTTGGACGCCGGTCTCTCCTATTGGTCGTTTCCCGGGTGGAAGCTGATACCTGGCGTGAGGATGACCAACCAGCGAAGTGGGGGTGGGATTGGGGAGGGGGGGGGGGGGGGGAGGGGGAGGGAAGTGGTGAAGAAGAATGGGGGGGGGGAGGGAGGGAATAGGGGGGCGATACACTCTTGAGCGATGGCGATCCCCCCCCCCCAAAAAAAAATGACAATATTAATAATAATAATAATAATCCGAATGCCTTTGCGACGGCGCCTTCATTCCCGTCTCCCGGACGTCTCACGCGGTGGTGACCGTGTGCCTTGTGGGCGACCCGCGGCGGCCAATGGCCCCCTGGGCGGCCTCGCACCGGCGGCCGCGGGTGGAAGTGACCAAACCCTTACTGTTATTTGTTGCTGTTATTAAAAATTTTGGAAGTCGCTTATGGTTCCCACTGCCGCGCATTTTCTCCTGGAAGTGGGATGGATGTTGGGTTCAGATACTCGGTCACTTCTCCCCCACCCACGGCTCGGCGTCAGGTTCCGCCAATGTTAAGGGCTCCGAGAAACTGCTACCCACCCCCCCGTGTGAAGGAAGCTATATAAATGCAAGTTGTTGTTGTTATAATAATAATAATAATAATCCTTGCATTTGATATAGCGCTTTTCACGGCGGGAGGACGTCCCAAAGCGCTTCACAGAACACACTGTAAAGTGAATTGACTGTATATTTGTGGGCGAACGCGGCAGCCAATTGCGCACAGCAATGTCCCACAAACAGTCGTAGATTGAAAATGTTGTTGGGTTTCCTCCCAGTGTGGCAGACCCCCCCCAGCCGGCAAAACTCCGGCGGTTGCGCCCACAAATATACCGTCAATTCGCTTTGCAGTCTATTCTGTGAGGCGCTTTGAGACGTCCAGAAGACGTGAAAAGCGCTATATCAAATGCAAGGATTATTATTAGTAGTGTATCTCAGAATACTCATCCCACGACATTACAGCGTTGATCTGTTTCTTAAACGAGAACAGCAACCTGATATCATCCACCCTTCCAACTGTTAATTACCTTCTAGTAAAATAAATATTTCCTGCTGTCCCACTCTTTGCTACCCTGAACCTGTGCCCTGCTTTCATTTTCTGCTGCCCTTGGCAAAGCAACGCATTGTTTTGGGTTTACTTTCGATGTTTTTGGCACTGTATGGATTGCAGACTCAGAAGATTGTACATAAAAGGGCCAAATGGACTTGTCGCTTTCCATGCTTGATGCTTGTTGAGGTTCTCCTCTAGATAGTTTGGGACCACAGATATTTTCACAATAAACTTTAGGGAGTATTTGGAACATAAACAGTAAGGAGTTATTTGTTGCCAGCAAAGCAGGAAGAGAACAGCACATGGTCAATGACCATATTCTCAAGCATGATAGAATACCAACAACTATGATGGTCATCCAACCTTGGTGTGCAGGGCGATGAAAGGCATGAATTAAAGGATCATCCAGTCCTGTAAACATGATTTACCTTTTACAAAATAAATTGGGGTCTTTCCACTTTTAAAATTGGATGCCTAGATCCCTTTACAGTATCCAGCTTAGTCTTGGAGACCGAATGAAATAAGATTTTCCTTTTCATTTCCACCCCTTAAATAAATTTTGTTTAATCCTGAAACTACATTTTCATGTTTTTTTTCCAGCTACCACCAAAATATTCAATTCTTATGTTCGTTGGTGATATTTGATAAATTGAACTTAATGTTATCCTTACGTGATGTGAATATGAATTTTGTAATAATTTGTATATGCTACATCTGTTACATTGCTTATCAACCTTACACATAAATTAATATCCAAAATTGCAGTCATAATAATAATCCTTGCATTTGATGTAGCGCTTTTCACATCTTCTAAACGTCTCAAAGCGCTTCACAGAATATACTGCAAGGTGAATTGACTGTATATTTGTGGGCGAACGCGGCAGCCAATTGCGCACAGCAATGTCCCACAAACAGTCGTGGATTGAAAATGACCAATTTATTATTGTTTTGTTTTGGAGGGATTATTATTAGGCTCTGTGTGGAGTAAGGAAACTTGCTCAAGGTTTCACCCTGCTGGGAATCGAACCCAGGTCTCTCGCTTGCGAGGCAACTGCTCTAACCACTGAGCTATAGGACTCTACAACCTCATCACTAAATTTCAAATAGTATCTGCGGTCTTCGGTGGTGTTGAGGTGGAGAGGCGAGAGGGAGGAAAGGGAAAGCTAAGTAAAACAAAGTGGTCATTATGTCCAGAGTCCCTTCCCCTACAAACTAATATCTGGTTATGCCAGATAAGCAATACCACGAACTAGAAAGACAGCGGACACACCTAAGAGGCCTTGGTTAGTCAGCTATCAGAGCTAACACCATATCATTTCGGAGACCAATGTTCTTGTATATGTTGGCAATGTTCGAACTGCTTCAATATAGTGCACTCCACTTAATTGCGTATTGGATAATTGTGTACTTCATTTAATTGTTCAGCTATTAGTTTGCAGTGTTGCACGCCGCTCAAATGCATATCGGATAATTGCAAAATTCACTTAATTGCATGAATGATAATCAGTTGATTTCATATAATAGTTTGGAAATAATAGTATGAGTTTTGATAATTCCAATGGTTGACGAGTAAACCGGGAAAGATGTATATGTGGTGGAGAGGCAGTGTGGAGAGCGATGGTAAGAGAGCCAGACGGGGGGTATAAAGAGAGGCAGCACGGAGAGCAGTGGAAAGGTGGAGCCACAAATGAACTTTGGGTTATTAAATATCCTGATAATTGCATGGCGTCTGTCTGTCCCGACTCTGTAATTATACGCAGTACACTGTAGATACTAAAAAGAACGCAATTTGCACCAATATAAATGGAAAGACTGTTGACCCAGCTCTTTTCACTTGATTTTGGCACTGGGCTGTTCTCCATAATTAAAGTGTTCTTTAAAACTAAATAGAAATCAAGTTCTAGCTACCCACATTGTGGTAAATAATAGAATAACTGGTTCTTGGTAATTCTTCTTTCCAATAAAAAAAATGAACATGATGTTCACTTGTTTGAAGCAGTTCCTAACTGATACGACGTGAGGCTCATTATGGGTGCAAATGTAGGTTCATTTATTTATAATACAGTCCTTTGTATTCTGAAATGTAAATAAGAATTCATAAAACACACAACACATTCATCTATTACAGCCTCTCTCCTCCAGATTACCCTTCATTCTTCGTAGTGAAGTCCCACTTTTCTACTGTGCACTTAATTTTTCTACAGTTAAAATAAGTATGTAGTTATTCAAGCATAAAAATGGGAAGATTTAAGGGTTGATAGTTGATACTCTACAAATGGACTGATCTTATGAATTTTTCTTCCATTGTTAAAAATTAATAAGTTGATTCCAATACTGTAGTTGAAATTTTGTTTATTAATTTGACTGTTTAATATCTAGAATTTAAATACCTGCATATTTGAATAATTTCTGAACAGTAAAATTCAAATGAACAGAAAGTGCATCTTAGTCTTTCAGTAAGATTGTTATAATCAATATTATTTCAGATACAACCACAAATTACATTTGTATATCGCCTTTCACATCGGGAGGAAGTCCCAAGGCGCCAAATTTTCATTACAAATTTTAAATACAAAGAACTCTGATTTCCCGGTCGTTCCTTTGCAAACAAAAATATTTCATACACTGCAAGATGACAATTTTAAGAAGTGTTTATTGAGACTTTTGAGAGTTTTAGTAATCACTGTATTTTGTACAACACGACCATCACATAGCACGACAAGATACATTTTTAAAATACTACATTATCTGGATGGAACTAAAATCTCTCCAGTGATCTTACTTAGCTAAAAGGTGCACATGCCAAAATACAGTATACTGTGTGCTATGTATGTTCCAGCGTCAGAATGCTGCTGTTACTTATTAACGTTTGCATTCGATATAGCGTCTTTCACATCGGGAAGACAGCAATGTCACACAAACAGCCGTGAAGAGAATGACCAACTTTATCTGGGGATTGTTAGCCAAGACACAGGTGAAACTCTCTCTTCACTTTCCGAATCGTGCTGTGGTGGGATCTTTAGTATCGGGCAGACAGAATCTGTTTTAATTGTCCCATCAGAAAGGCACCACCTCTCACAATGCATTGCAACCCCCAGCACTGCGTTTGGAATGTCAGCCTCGACTATGGGGCTTGAACCCACAAGCTGCTAACTCAGGGACGAGAATGCTACCAGCCGAGCCAGGCTGATCTACCTAATTTAATATACAGTATTTACAAATGACGCAGTACTAATTCAGGATGACTGAAACCTGCTCAATCGTTTACATCGAGAATTGTCTGCACCAGAGAACTTCAAAACAGATTTCCCAAGAGGGACCGTAAAAAAAAATAAAAACAGATCATTCTCGGAATCCCAATAATTAATAAACTGGCTACGGAGACTGATTTTCAAACTCAAGTCTTATTCTGTGCTTATTGCGCCCGAAGTGGTGCTTGTTGGATGCTTTTATTCCCATTTTCATCTCAATACAGTGTGTGAAAGATCATCAAGCAACAGACCAGGAGAGAAATACAAAGTAACCACATAATCCCCATTGCTAGGACTTTCAGTTATCCGATGTGCTTTGTCATCAAACTGCGATGTGCAACTACTATTGGCAAAGTCCAAACTCAGCATTTTAAAAGAACGCAAGTTACTTTCCAAACATCGTTCGCTCGTAACCAACCCTTTTTTTTGGGTGTGTGACGTTCTCATCTGCCAGCCAATTTTTTTCTAATATGAAGGAACGATTACAAAATCCTAAATAAAGAATTTGTTCCAGTGAATAATGGGGTTTGTTAACGGATTACTGGGCCCTCCCATGGCCGTACCGAGTTCTAAAGTTTGCTATTTAAAGGCAGCGGAAACAAAAACAAAGTCTAAGGCAAGCCGAGGAAAACGACTTTCAAAGGATCAACTCAATGGTCAGAATTCACTCACATGTTAATGCAGTTGTGGGATAACAATCGAGTGAATGTAGGTGGTTGACGATGACACATTTAAGTCGTAAAGGAAGAACAGATGGCATTGAGGGGCTTGAGCTCAAAAATGACTCGATTTACATTGAAAAACGTGTTAAACTTGTTTCTTTGTAAACTAGATAACAGAAGATTTTTTTTTAAATGCAGAAATACACACATTCTGGCATTTGTCAGTCTTCACAATATCGGCTGCAACTCAATCTCTTGAAATCAGATCTGACCATGAAGCTGTAAAATCTTGCATAAACAAAATTTGGTAATTAAGTCTCCAGCATTTATCAGCATCCTGAGGAGAATCCATTCTCCTTTCCTGAATCAACCAATTTCGAATCACCACTTTAAACAAGATAATCACATGGTACATGTACACATGCAATGAACCTACCTTAGATCTTTGACGTGAAGACTTGGGGACTAGTCTCTATACCTCTCAGCACTCAGCAGTCATTCACACTGGTCAATCAAGAATACGTCAGCTTACTGTACACCTTTGAAAGAGTTCATCTAGCAAAGCAATTGTGAAAACATTTGCATCTATTGAATTTGAGTACAGTAAGTTTATTTATTGTATTCCAGCTTTCAGCAAACAGGGCCACTTGGTGATGGAAAGCTTAGTCACCTGGTTTTATTTGGTACAAAGAATGGAGAATACAATTTGGAAAGATATTTGGAGGGCAGCGAGTCAGCGAGCTCCCATACGTTTACATACTTGTAGATTTGACACTCGTGGTTCATGAGGACGAGCTGAGTTATAACAGATCAAATTAAAATGATTAAATAGGAATAAATAGGCAGTTGTGTGGCATTTTAGAATTCTATTTTTGTGGACAATGTAAATTGGTACAGTAGAAAGTGAGCTTTTTTAAACAATTAGTGATTTCATGAGTTGTGCATACGATTTAATTATATTATTAGTTTACCATAAATTGTTAATTTCAAGAAATACATACCTCATAAGCCACATATTTTAATTACAACTTGTGTGTGTGTATATATACACACATATATATATATACTGCATATACACACACACATCAAAGCAGCCTTGCCTGCAAAGCAAACTGCAGGTTAAACACAATTCTTGTAGTCTATATTTCAAATGTCTGTTAAGACTTTGGAAACAAAACACCGGTCTCTTAAAATTATAGCACATGCAATCATGCTTAATTTAAGTCCATTTTTCTTTCAGGACACAATTTAGCACCAAATGTTTGTAAAAGAAAATACTGCATATTTTTAATTGCCAGTACAAAGCACACATTCAAATGGGAAACATAACTCCCCTCCTTTTTATGCCCTTGTTATCTACACACCTGTTATATATATATAATATATTTATAAGTAACTGACAGCACCTGCACTGCAGAAATATACCAAGTATACAAGAAGATGTCAATGACAAGTCTACAGCTATCATTTGATTGCATTTTACTGCTTTGTTCTATAAAACATATATAAGACTGTGCTGTGATATCCCCGCAGGCTTCTGGTGCATGGTCCAAGATTTATGTGCTACAGTAACCACTAAATTGAAAGCTGCAGTATTCCCAGGTTCAAGAATTAGTCAAAACCAATATTCTCTGCACATTTCGATTCAACTACTGCAGATGGAGTGATACAGAACAAATGAAAATTGGGATTGAATGAATCATATTTCCAAGTATATGGGCCTTGAGGTCCAGGTAACCACAGCAGACTGCTGTCGACATCATTCCAAGAAAGGAACCAGGATTTGTAAATGGTGCTGGGGAGCCTATTGATTTTACCTGCACAGACGAGAGAGATGGATGAACAGAACATGGCCACATTATCCAAGCTTGCGCTGATTAAAAGAGTACAGCCTGAGGAAGGGGTAAAAAGATGGAAGGAGAAGAAGGAACACAAGTGTTTACATCAAAAATAATTCCCATAAGAATCCAAATGAACAATAATATCACTGTTATAGATAATGGTCATTTTCTTCTTCCATTAAAAATCCTAACGTGCTGCAATAATTACTTTAAATTACCGGGGGTGGGGAGGGGAGTAGGGGATATACAATTTAAATAAAAATCTATGAACCAAAGAGATAAATCTGTGCTTTAGTCCTCAGTTATATTCTGAATTGTAATAATTGTGAAAAATTACAGCAAAAATTCTTAACTGTACATTATTGCTATATTCCACAATCAAGGTTTGGAGCTCATGGTCAGTCGCAAAACATGCTTTAATTGTTTCAGAATAAATAAAATAATCATTTGGGCACATAATTACATTCGTTTGTGCTGTTATTGTTCTGCTAAATGTGATTATTAGATTCCAGCTGAATCATGATGTGCTGATATAAGCCATTTTTGGTTAAAAAATATTGCTCACATTTTACTGCCGTCCACAATAATGGAAAACATCAGGATGGCAACTACAAATTAAGACACAATCCAAATTTACACCTTAAAATTGTATGAATTTCTTTATAGGTTGTCCTTAGTTCTCACTGCAGGAGAGCACTTTTGAAACATAACCACAAAGCTGCCCTGAGCTAGTTTTCCAAATACAAACACAGAATTCCTTCTAAATGGGAGACTGCTAGTTTTTAGGTACGTAGAGCGGAGGGGTTAACGTAAGGTGGGGGGGGTTAGAGGGGGTGGAATGGCCTCTTAGCCCTACATTACGAGCTTAAGAGCATCATTGCTGAGGGCTGAACGGGTACCATGTGCCCCCACCACCACCCCTCGCCTGGAGAAGCACAGAGGCCGAATGTAAAATCTATGTCAATAATAAATGATAAATGCACTTTGTCAAACCTTGGTATTCCTTCTGTGCTGGTGTGCTATTGTTACTAACAGAACCCTATATACCTTAACATCTCAGCTGAAGCAACCAAACAATTCCCTGATAAACATGGTCTGTCTTTGCAGTTCAACTAATTAATCTATAAAATAGTAAACCGTTGCATTAATATTTCAATTATACTTTCGAATAGATTAAAATTATGATAAGCACATAATTACTGTTGTCACTTTCTCCACCACAATCACAACTTGGACTTATATAACACCCTCCACGCAGGGTAGCATCTCAGAGCGACAATACAACAATATAGAGCACATTAACTGCTCGTTGTTCAACTCCTTTTAAGAGAACCTTGCAACTGTTATTGTCAGATAGTGATTAACTTGCAATGCTCATTCTTTCAACCTAAAACTTTTACACAGCTCAATCGCAACATCTTTCTATTTCAACAACCATTTGCATACTACATCTTAGTAAAACTACTGAGTTTGGACACATGAAAAATGGTACATATGCACGTGATAACTGTGGTTAGGATGTAAAGCGGCAGGTTATCTACCTTGTTTCAGACTATATACACAAATAATCTTAGGACCGAGTATGACTTTCATGTATGTTACTGTATCTCTTCCTGTACACGCTTGCAATTGATGATTAACTAGTAAATCTACCCTCTTTCTACAGAGAAAACAATAATGCTAGGTTGCTTTTTCACAATATTTCAATAACACTGCAATAACCATCTTTGCTCATACACTGTGGGATGATGTGTTGTGTGCAGGAACAGAACAGTACATCCATTTACTATAAATAAAGAGAATAGGTTGTATTTCACAAATCTACACGAGAGCAACTTGCCAGCATGATCATTTTCGCATACTTACTCTAGGCCCATAGAATTACACAAAACAGATATCCTTAGCTTCTGTGGGACTTAGTCAGTTATTATGTGTTGCAGTTCTTTTAATGATTTTCTTCAGTTTTTTCTCTGACGATCTCGGCTTCAGTAAACAAGTACAAGCTGAGACGCCTGCAATCGCTTTTGGCAGGTCTGAGTCACGGAACCACTTATTTTTCTCTCGATCGTATACCTGCACAGCCTTTGAGAACACCGTGTTCTCCCAACTGTAACCACCGAGAATGTAAATTTTTTTATTCAGAACTGCGACTCCCGACTCGCTATTGGGCTGTAACAGAGGGGAAACTCTGGTCCACTGATTACAATGTGGACTGTAACATTCCACCCTCAAAATATCAAACCTCTCCATAGACTCGATGTGATCATCACTGCCGCCTATAGCGTAGATATGGTCCCCCAGTGTGCACATACTGTGCCACCCTCGAGAAGTTATCATCGGCCTCTTTTCTTCCCAAACGTCAGTTCGATAGTCATAGCAAAGGAGGTTTTTTCGATAAGGTCCTATTTGATAATCGTGACCTCCTGAGATGTACACAAATTCCTTATGTATTGTCCCAGCATGTCCATATGTAAATCTGTGACAAAGAAAAATAGAAGATCACATGAATAAAACAGTGAATTACAGCATGTATCTTGCATAAATTGGTGTAGGCGTGGGAGAGAACCTATGGCTATAATTCAATCAAATGATGATGGGCTGGTTTATAAATATCTAATTTTTTCAAATGTACAAGTGCACTTCATCAGTAGTTACTGTGCAAGATCAGATGGAACACACGGCAGAACAATGAAGGAGAAATGGTGCAATCACGCATTAGGTTTGATTCAAAGAAAAATCAGGAATTAATTAGTGAGAGGCGCAGGAGATTTCATGACCATAAGAGTAGTGGAGGGCAAGGGTAGGGTTACAGAATTAACACAACGCAGGCGTTCTGAGCAGTTGGACATCTAAATCCTCGTGTCGTGCTGGTATTAAAACACACTCGCACTTACTGTCGCATATGCTCGCAATATTATATTTTTACCCATTTAGCCATATAGGTTTGCCTTTGGAGTTGTACCTTCATTCCCTCCATCTTGCCTCACTATATTGATGCCTATCTTTCAGTATCAAACTGTATTGGAAATACTACACAGAATCACATTGAACGATACAGCGTGGAAATAGGCCATTCGGCCCAACCAGTCGGTGCCGGTTTTTATACTCCGCATAAGCCTCCACCTGGTTCATTTGGTAGCGCTCTTGCCTCTGAGTCAGAAGGTTGTGGGTTCAAGCCCACGTCAGGATTTGGAACACATATTAGTCTAGGCTGACATTCCAATGCAGTGCTGGGGGTGTGCTGCATTGTCAGAGGTGTTGTCCTTCGGATGAGATGTTAAACCGAGATCCCGTCTGTCTGTTCAGGTGGATGTTAAAGATCCCATGGCACTATTCAAAAAGAGAAGGGAGTTTATCCCGGTGTCCTGGCCAACAATCCTCCAAATAAAATTGGTCACTCACTCCAACGCTGTTTGTGGGACATTGCTGTGCACAAATTGGCTGTCATTTCTCCTTCATATAGTCACATCACTTTATAGCCTGTGAAGTGTTCGGCGATGTGATATGGAGCAATATCAAATGCAACAATTATTATTATTATTGCCCTCTCCCTGAGTTGCAAAACAAGTAGAGGGCAGGAAAGGTCACTTTTACAGGAAAAACAGTCATTTCAGTTCCAGAATCTTCATCGAAGGGGAACTAAAGTCTGGGGAACAGAAGTATTTCAACATGTTTGGTGAAAGTATTCTTTCATTTTACAGAAGGAATAGTAACGCCAGGGGATTTTTATGAAAAGTGTACATTTTTATAACTGCTATGTGAATCTCAAGTTGGCTTTTCCTTACCGCTAGTCCCCTTTAGTGATGTCACTACCTGGAGCAGATCCACAGCAAGTTATGGGAAGACACATTGTCAAAAATGCCTGAAAACTGATAAGTGTCACAAGGTCCAAGAAAACATTCTACGAGCAGGCTACTCTACATCCACAACCACCAGTCTACCGCACAGAACAGGAATCAGAGCAACATTCTTCTCTGTGCAGTGAGGAGAGTGGCTTCCAGACGAACATAATAATCGCCAGACGAAAGAAGACCAAGGTCCATCCAGTTTGTCTTCCACCATTCTGGCAGTCGCATGAACATGTCATGTTCCAAACTATATGCTGTATCCTGAGATATTAGATATTCCAACTCTGCCTTAGTGCTACAATGGGCCGTGCCTTTATCGACGAGGCTGCAGGGGAGCAAAATGAAAATTTCATGAGGTACGATACCTTGGTAGACCAGCAACGTAGAACCAGGTATCTTTATTTGGGTTGTAGATCTCAACAGAGGAAAGAGCACCGTTCTCATTCCTGCCCCCAACGGCGATTAGAAAGTCTGCAAAGGCACCCAAGTAAAAATCCACTCGCCTCTGATTCATGGAAGCAACCTAAGAAAACACACAAGACAATCTAAGAAATGTAAAATATTGTGAAATTATTATAATAATTATATTTATTTTGGAAGAAAAAAAAAGGTTGGCCAAAAAAGGTTGGCCATCACTGCTCTAGAACTCTCTCTCTAAATCCATCCACCTAGCACACGCCTGCTTCGCTTTCAAAACCCTTCTAAAAAAAAACTACCACTCACTGCGTCTTTAGTCACCTCACTCCTGAACCCGCCACGGTTTCCCATCCTATTCTGTCTCAACATCTGTGGCCTATGAAAGAGGGAAGGGACCAAAAAGATGGATGTGTGTGGGGGGGGGGGGGGGAATTCATCTAAGGTTCCTGATCATTATCCAGTAACTGCTGAAGTGCGTCAGAGTGGGACTGGTGCTTGGCTGTAATTTATGAGTAGAATTATATTTACTACGTGATCAAATACTGTAGCCTGCCAGCATTTACCAGCTGGACTGACACATGAAAGATGATCGCTTAGGCACTAGAGGGTAGCTGAGTCGCAGGTTACAAGTGAGACTCTTTTGGAATGACGAAACAGAACACAAATCTCCATGTTACTTTCTAGAATACATGTTTTTGTAGGATTTTCCCCAGCAGTTAGGGTCTTTATCAACAGCGATTGTGACCAATCTCTTCTGTGCTGATCAGCATTTCACACACCGACTGTCCCACCCCCAGCTCAGTTTGCAAAATCCTTCCCTGCCCTCCTTCTCATGTAATAAATATCAGTACGATAATCGTAAAATCCTCAACATGTGTCGAGGTAATTCATGGGTTGAACGTGTTAAAATGATTAGGATACAAATTATTTATGATTTTACAACTGAAGATTCATGTCAATTCATTCATTATTCACAACACTTTTTTTGTTACCATTGTATTTAAGCGTTCCAGGACGCTACCCCGCTTGAAGGGTGCTATATATCAAATCAATACACAAATAACTTTAACTATTCCTTTAAAATTGAGGTTTGATGAGAACCACAGGAATTTTGTGGTCCTCAATTGAATTTAAGCTCCTTAGTGTAGTGGTTAATGCGCTCTCCTCGCAAGCGAGGATCTGGGTTTGATTCCCGGGCAGGGCGAAACGTTAGGCAAGTTTCCTAGCGGTAAGTAGAAACCCAGTTGTTTGTCGATAGGCGGATCACTTTCTAGGGATAATAATCCCAAGAAACAGTGGTCACTCAATCAACGATTGTTTGTGGGACACTCAATTGGCTGCTACGTTTTGTCCACAAAATATATAGTCAATTAATTTTATATAATATATTCTGTGAAGCACTTTGAGATGTCACAACGAGATGATAAGGCGCTATATCAAATGCAAGGATTATTATTATTTAAAAGAGCAGGAATCAGCTAACAGCAGATTCCCTTGGGAGGTGCTGCAACATGCGACAGTGTCAGGCCGTCAGTCACCTCCTTCAGCACATTATCGGCTCCAGTGAAGGGCCTTTTGCTATTTATGGATCGTTTGAACTAGAGATGTGCTAAATCTGTGACTCACTTATGCAGGGAAGGAGAGGGGAGGGGAAGGAGAGATAGAAAGAGAGAGAGAGCGAGAGGCCGAAATACTCAGAAGGCTTGAAGCATAAACAATCACAACACTTAAATGGGGATTAACTGCAAATGTGCATTGGAATTGTGCATATACACAAGTAGGCAGCTTTCACTTTTGGGTCTCTGCATGATAGTGGTAACAAGACCGTAGACTTTATAATCTCTTAAGCTTGGCAAGAAACATGAGTGGTGCCCAGGCACTTCCCCAGCAGGTGGGCCAAAACTATGGTGAGTGTCAATCATGTTGAGCTGCTTTTCCGAACTTCCTATAGGCCAGTGTTAGTGGAAGCCCTGCAGCCCATCTCCAGCCTGACGGCCCGTTCGTTTTGCCAATGCAGAGAAGCCGCAGGGTGAATTAGTGAAGTAAGTAGAAGAAAAAAAAACTTGGTTCCCAGAAATGAGACACCAATTTCTCTTTCATTCCAAATGTCGGCTTTGCAAACGGATCCAGTTCACTGGTGTTGCAAGACACTAAGACATTCTGAACACAATCCATACTTGAGTTGTCTGGACCAGATGTTAAAATTGCCAGTGTTACAGTGGGGGGTAAACACTTTTGGGGGAGAAATTCTACCCGGGTCTTGATTTGCTCCCCGTAGCATTTTAAAACTGTGCCTTAATTTGAAGCCCATTTTCTGCAAATTTATTTTAAGAACTGCAGAAGAACGACTTGAAAGTTAAAACTGAATACAACGATTTGCCAAATTCTGCACGCTATATAGGTCAATGCCTTGGGAAACAGTAACATTATCTATAACTTTCTTCCTATGTATGCAGTACGGTAACATTGCCAGACTCCGCCACCGCCTCACCCCTCAGGCTGCCGAGTGCCTCACCCACCCATTCAGCACATCAAGGCTCAATTATAGAAACTCCCTCCTCATCGGTCTCTTCCTTTCACAAGCTGCAGATCATCCAAAACTCTGCAGTTCGGGTGTATTCTCACGCACCAGGCTCCGTGACCACATCACTCTCACCCTCGCCCGACTCCACTGACTCCCCATCCCTCAGAGGATCGGGTTCACGATCCTCGTCCTCACTTTCAAGGCCACCCATGGCCTTGCCCCCTCCTACCTCTCTGACCTGCTGACTCCCTACCAACCTGCCCGCTCCCTGTTTCAGCGGGCTCCAGTCTGCTCCATGTCTCCCGCCCGACCCGCCCTACCATCGGTGGCTGAGCTTTCAGCCTCTCTGCCCCCACACTCTGGAACTCCATCCTACAGTCCCTTGGCCTCGCTTCCTCCCTCGCCTCCTTCAAGGCCGGTCTCAAAACCCTCCTCTTCGATCGTGCCTTCAGTCACCCGCCCACCTCTCTGCCTTCCCTCACCCCTACCCCACCCCGCCCCCATGCTCTGGTCCTGACCCCTGACTGCCTAGCCTCTTGGGATGTCCTCCCGGCGTGAAACGCGCTCTATAAATGTAATTTTGTTGTTGTTGTTTGTACGGTATTGCAGTGCTGCTGGATTCTCTCCAGATTTCACCTGCAGTCATTTGTTCTGCATGCTATTCAGGGACTGCACGAAGTTGCAGAATAAACTGTTGCTAATGCTCAGGTAAGTTGTTAATTAGTCAGTAAATAAGTCTTTTAGTGATTTGTTACAAGCTTCAATTGAGTTAGCAACTCTCCCCTAAAAAGCACGTGCACAGATTAATCTGGTTTATTCTACAAAAGCTCCACTGAAAGTCTGAACAAATCTGCATAACATTTCCACACCAGACATACTGGCAATAAGAAAATCAATTTATATTGCAAATTCACTGCAACTTCACTCAGCCTTCTCTGCTGTTAAAGGATCAGGTGCAGCTTATAAATGACTATATTTTGACTTGTCACACAGTCCGTGGTATAGAAGAATGCATCCATCGATTGCCAAGTAATCCTGCCTGAATATCAAGAATGTTTGCTTGTGAAATATCCCAGGACTCTCGAACTAAAGAGACAATGCATTTAAAAGCACACGTGACAGCAGTCAAATGGATTCTGAATTAAAATCCTGGCTAGCTCTGATAGATCCTGGCACTGAGCCTGACTCCTAAATAATTTATAAACATGCTATTACATTGAATGACAGAGTGGTTACTTAAAATGTCAACGAAGCAGAACCACCAGGCATTTTTTACGGGTCCGCTCACCCTTGCGAAGTAATCGGAAGTGGAATAACACGCTATTTTAACATTATGTTTACAAAAATGAAAATGCTGCAGTGTTTAGCTGGGCCCAAACCGTGACTGATTACGAACAGTCAGTCGAAAACTGCAGGTGCAGAATTCTACACACATGCGTGTTATTTCCGCCACAGGTTACCATTGCTTGGATACCATTACCGCTAATTTATAAAAGAGGAGGGGGTGGAGGGGGGCTGCGGGAAATCACCTTTATCCACTGGTTACACCGAGGATCGTATCTATGAAGGAGGTTGGAAGCTGCATCTCCTCCGTTGTCTCGAGATGAACTTCCACCAGCCACAAAGATAAACCCTCCAAAAACGGTGGCACAGTGGTGGCTCCGTCTTGAGGGCAACATGGTTTCAGACGACCACTGTCCTTTTGCAGGATCCAGGAAGCACAGGTCGTCGCTCAGCTCCTCTCCTCGCTCAGACACCTCGCCCCCAACAAACAGCAGCCTCTCGGTGTCTGAGCGGAGCATAGAGCGCTTGTTCTGGAGGAATGGTTGCCTCACTGGGTTGTTGTGATAATACACCGCTTCTTCCAAGAAACTTTCACAATTGGACTCTTTGGGCAGGAGGGAACACACAGCGGGTTTGACTCGGTGCAACAGGTCACTTTTTGGTATCAGCGGGAAGTGGATGTTGGTGAGGACGAGTCGTGCTTCCCGCTCTCGTTCGGGGCTTTGGGTCAGCCACTGGAGTGCAGCCTGCAGCAAATCGTGTTCACATTCATGCTGTACGTTGTTGCTTTCCAAATAGAGGCAGAGTTTCTCGACCGTGACGTTCTGCAGAAAATCGGGCGTGAACGAAAGAGTACCAAATTTCTGCAGGATAAAGCTATCGATGAAAGAGTCCAGTCGCTCCAGGCTATAGATTGAGGCCAGCTCTTGAAGGTAAAGGTAATTCTCTTCGCTCACTTCATTTTCTAAATACTCGCAACAAAAATCAACCACTTTCCAGATTTGTAGAAGGTGGGCCGTCTCCAGAACGTAGTCAATGTTTCCACCATCCAAAGGGAGCTCGCTGCTGTAAAGGAAGTCGATCACAGCTTTCAGGCCGATGTAGGAGGCTCCGATCAATTCAACTTCCTTCTGGTAAGCTTCCCGCATTCCAATGGTAAACATGGAGTTAAAATAGTCGCTGTAGACAGCCAACAGGTTCCTGTGAGCTGACACACTCTGTTCGTCTGCCATAAGCACTATGTCACAGAACAGTCCTCTCTGTCTCTGCTCATTCAGCCCCTGAAGGACCTCATTAGCATGATCCGCCCACCTGAACACCTGCAATGACAGTATATCTAAGAGTTACCATATTGATCTGACACTTAATTTTTGTAGTAAAATAATAGAGGCATAATCTAATCAATTCGAAATTGACATTATCAATCCACAATTTTAATAACACAAAAAAGAAATTAAAGTTTAAATAAAACAGTTGATTGAGACTCAGAATTGTTTGCAGGTACACGCATAGAACTGTAGAGACAAAATTACATGTGTATAGCGCCTTTCACGTCGGGAGACATACCGAGGCGCTAGACAGACATAGTTTCGGACCCAAGCTGGGGGTTAGGATCAGGGAGGGTGGAGGGCAATATATACATATATATATATATACACACATATGGAATGAGAGGTTTGAGATTGTTGGCAGGAGGCTATGTTGGTTGGGCTCAGGGGTTAAATGAAGTCACTGTGCTTTACCTACAGTATTGATGTGAGCAGCATCTTTAGTAATCTTTAAGTGGGCTGTGTGGGATATCGATTCATCTGATTCCTTGCAGACTATTGCGTTGAGAGTAGAGACTTGTTGTGCCTCAGCTAAGGCAGATGCAACTTCCCTCTGCTAGTAGCGAGAGTAGGGAAGACCTCTCTTGACATTTGTTAATTTTAAACCGAGCTTATCAAGTCGTGTAGTCAAAGTCCACATAATCTGCTTACAGCTACATCTCTCGGCATTTTAAAGGCATAGATCACATAGAATAAGAGTATTCGATAATCTTTGAATTTGATATAGCAATTTCTGGCACCAAAATGTCTCAAATCGCTTCATAGGACTTTTTCTGTAAAGTGATGTGTGAGCCTTGACATTGAATGTTACAGGGCAATTCAACAGGGACAGGCTTTGATCACAACTGTGCCTGATATCATCCTGACAGGTGTCCATAAACGCACATTTCCAACAGCAATTGGACAGCAATCCTGGATGATTCCCTCCTCCTTCACCCCCACCAAAAATGCTCATATGTGCCTTCATTACAACCAGGCATGACTATGCCAATGCCCTCCTTGTCAGGCTTACTAACAATTCCCACCACAAGCTGCAGATCATCCAGAACTTTGCAGCTCGTGTCCTCTCCTGCACCAGTGACTCCATCACACCCACCCTTGCCCGGCTCCACTGGCTCCCCATCCCTCAGAGGATCAAGTTGATCATCCTCACCCTTCCATGGCCTTGCCCCTCCTACCTCTCCGACCTGCTAATCCCTTATCAACCTGTCCGCTACTTCCGCTCAGCAGGCTCCGGCCTGCTCCATGTCCCCCGCCCGGCCCACCCTATCATGGCAGTCCTTCAGCCTCCCTGCCCCCCACCCTCTGGAATTCCATCGCCTTGCTCCCTCCCTTGCCTCCTTCAAGGCACGCCTCAAGACCCTCCTCTTCGACCGTGCCTTTGGCCACCCTCCTATCTGCCACCCTCCCTGATCCCACCCCAACCTCCCTCCGTACAAGTCCTAATCCCTGACTGTTCAGCGCCTTGGGACGTCCTCCCGACGTGAAAGGCGCTTTACAAATATAATTTGGGATTGCATTGTATGCTCAGGTGCATATAGTGGCATTCCAGCTAAAATCAGCTGATACTGCACAGGCTGGGGATCTCCCCAAAACACAAGCTCAGTTACTCATGTGAATTATGCTCAATTACTTATCCAACAAAGATACATCCGTCACATGGTAACGCATACTGGTACCCGATATTCTCCCCAGGTCGATCCTTGTGAGGTCTCTCAAGCGACTCAAGGATCATTATGTGGCTGACAGTTACAGCTAAATAATAATATAATAATAAACCTTTCATTTGATGTAGCGCCTTATCACGTCCTCAAGACGTCTCAAAGCGCTTCACGGATTATACTGTATAGTGAATTGACTGTATATTTTGTGGGCAAAACGAAAGTTATGTAACATGAAGGAACCATCTTCAACAATCATACTAGCAGCTGTACCAACCAGGTTGCTCTTTCTTTTTGCTGTCAGGTGCCGTCATTACACTAACCTTGGATGACTCACTGATCTTGTGCGGACGAGACACTCTTGGCTGCCTGGACCCCTCCATTACGACTTGCCTGGCTGCACCTAATGAAGGAATGGTTAATTAGTTATCGTTGCAAAGACAAAGCCTTGTGCTAGATCGCAGGCTGCACTGAAAGGTAATACTGTCCATGACAGCTTGAAGCAGACATTTTGCTGTCTGGCCACCTGCTGGTCACTCTTAGTAAATGGTGTAATGAAAGCCAAGGCAGCCTTCACTTAAATGTTACTCGTTAATAAATTAAAAAGCAACGTAAATCAAAAATCTCAGATGCAATGTGCAATGAGTCCAAAACACAAGCACTACTGAAATTCTTCCATTTGATGGGCAGTTTCTTAAGCTAAATCAGATGGCTACCTGACTGTGTTTCTGAATCTAAATACCGCCAAAAAAGCAGGCTCAGCCTCTGGTGGTTTTCAATGTGATTTCCAAACGAATAAAACAGATGCTGAAGCCGCAGTAAACACACAATGTGAGAGCAAAGTGACAATAGTAATAGTTTAGGCCTGGCCGACGTTCAGAGACTGGAAGCTGACTCTTCACAACGTAACATTTTAATTTTCTTTATGCAATTGCTGACACACTTTCAAAGGTTCATGAACCCATTACCAGATATGGTTTCCGGGCATTTCACATTTTAGTTTTATTACCTCTGTTATTATTCCCCGCCTCCCCCACCCCCACGCGTAATTGGGACCCAGGACAGGCAGGCAATGTGTTCCTAACCTTACGTTTGCACCTTAACCAAGGAACAATTGACCAAAGTAATCCTATTTGAGAATTTTCCAATCCGGCGGAGGGATTTCTTTTGCCTCCTGTCCATCTCGTGCAAACTCCTTGCACGTGCTTAATTAACAGTGTCCAGTTCCAGCAACCAAGAATGCACGGAAACAGTTTTCAACTGCCAATGTGTTCACTCGCTGGATTATGCACAAGCTGAATGCAAATACTCCCAACACCCAGTGACATGTTGACCCCTCCAACGCTCAGTGATCAGCTAGACTAGTTGGTCAATCACCACCAGTACTCCAGAGTACTATGGACCTGTCTAACTCGGGTACTAGACTCCCACCAAGGAGCCCACCGCCGAGAACAGAGCTGATTCAGCTACGGTACCTGTCTCCCAAAAGGTCAATGCCATGCACAGACTCAATAGGCAGAATGGCCTCTTTCTGTGCTGAAACATACCCCTAGTTGGTTCGATGGGGAGGGTGGGGGGGGGGAAATAGTGCCTAATCCCTGCAGGACGCTGCAGGAACTCCCGACGGTACGTTGGTAAAGGTAGGGACGTGTCCGAGACACCACGCGCGGCCACACTTTTTCCGCCCGCACCTCCCTTCGGGCGACGAAGCCCCTCGGGCCGCCTACAGGCATTCGTTTGCTTGCAACATAAAACGCAATTGGCCGTTGTTTGCGTGTGGGTGGATCAACAGTGCGTCGGTGGGGGTGGGGTGGGGGGGGGGTCGGGGGGGGACGGACACACCTGCCCCCCAACTCACTCCTGCCCACCACACCCCCCCCCCTCACTCCTCGAGGCGCAAATTATTATCAATAACCAATCATGACAACAAGGACGGCGACCGCGATCGATCGGCTCGGTCACTCCGCCGGTGCCGACTGATGGGGTGGTTGGGGGGGGGGTTGGGGGGGTCCCCATTTGATTTGATTGACAGGTGCCCCACCCCCCCTCCTCCTCCTCCTCCACACGCGCGCACAGCCAAGTGCGCATGTGCGGCACCGCTCCCGCGGGGCGGGTTCGCGCCCAATTGGGCGAGTTTTTTTTTGAGCGGGGGGGGGGGGAAAAGCCTTTCTTTTAAATTAAATGAATTCAAACGTTACCCCCCCCCCTCCCCCACCGCATCCCCTCCCCCCAACGTTTAAAGCCCTTTCCCGAGGCAAACCTGGAGGGTTGGGGGCTACTTTTGGGCTATTGTTGGGCGGGAAAGCGGGCGGGCGGGTGGTCTTTGGGCTACAAACGTACGCACACTCGGTTCATCTCCGGCCGAGGCCGCGCTTCCCGGGGGCGGGGAGTTGAACGGGGGGCGACGCCGCGCGCGAAACCCCCCCCACACACCCAACCAGAACAACAACAACACCGGGTGGCCCTGAGTTACCGGTCCGGGATGTTTCGACGGGGCTCTGGTCCCGGGGTCGCCGTCTACACTGACGTTGGCCTCGCCATCGCCGGCGCCCGGCATTTCCTCGGCGCTTCCGTCTCCCGTGAGGTCATCGCCGGAAGCGCCGCGTTGCTGCTCCCGCCCCCCCTCCTCCCGCGCGCGGGGATTGACGCGCCGCCCGACCAATGGCGAAGCGGCTAGCGCCGGACGCCTGGTCCGGCCGACCAATCCGACGCCGCGGCGCATCCGCGGCCGCCGCGGTGCCCGCCCCCACCCCCGCCGTTGCTATCGCAACTCTTAAAGCGGTACCCGCCCCATCTCATGTCCATTTAAAGGGCAATGCGACATGGCTTTCTTAGCAATAATATGTCAGTGTGAGTGTCAGTCAGTGTCAGTGCGTGTGTGTCAGTCAGTATGTCAGTCAGTCAGTGTGTGTGTCAGTGCATGTGTGTGTGTTGTCAGTGTGTGTCAGTGTGTGTGTGTGTGTGTCGTCAGTCAGTGTCAGTGGGTGTGTGTCAGTGTATGTCAGTCAGTGTGTGTCAGTGTGTGTGTGTGTGTGTCGTCAGTCAGTGTCAGTGGGTGTGTGTCAGTGTATGTCAGTCAGTGTGTGTCAGTGTGTGTGTGTCAGTCAGTGTGTGTGTGTCAGTCAGTGTCAGTGGGTGTGTGTCAGTGTGTGTGTCAGTGTCAGTGTGTGTGTGTTGTCAGTGTGTGTCAGTGTGTGTGTGTGTTAGTCAGTGTCAGTGGGTGTGTGTCAGTGTGTGTGTCAGTGTCAGTGTGTGTGTGTCAGTGTGTGTGTCAGTGTGTGTGTCAGTGTCAGTGTGTGTGTGTCAGTCAGTGTGTGTGTGTCAGTCAGTGTCAGTGCGAGTGTGTCAGTGCGTGTGTCAGTCAGTCAGTGTATGTCAGTGTGTGTGTGTCAGTCAGTCAGTGTGTGTGTCAGTGTGTGTGTCAGTGCGCGTGTGTCAGTGCGCGTGTGTCAGTGCGCGTGTGTCAGTGTGTGTGTCAGTGTGTGTGTCAGTCGGCCTGGCTCAGTTGGTAGGGTTTTTGCTTCTTGATCTTGAGTCAGAAGGTTACGGGTTCGAGTCCCCACATCCGGACTTTAACTCATACAGTCTAAGCTGACACTCCAATCCGGCGCTGGGGGGGTGTTGAGTTGTCGGAAGTGCCGTCCTTCCGATGAGACATTAAACCAAGGACCTGTCTGCTTGTTATGGTGGATGTTAAAGATAATAATAATAATAATAATTAATAATAATAATCCTTGCATTTGATATAGCGCTTTTCACGTCGAGAGGACGTCCCAAAGCGCTTCACAGAACACACTGTAAAGTGAATTGACTGTATATTTGTGGGCGAACGCGGCAGCCAATTGCGCACAGCAATGTCCCACAAACAGTCGTAGATTGAAAATGACCAATTTATTATTGTTTTGGTTTTGGAGGATTATTATTAGGCTCTGTGTGGAGTAAGGAAACTTGCCCAAGGTTTCACCCTCTGCCTGGAATTGAACTCAGGTCTCTCACTTGCAAAGCGAGTGCTCTAACCACTGAGCTACAGGACTCCAAGATCCCACGCCAAGGGAGTTTATCCCGGTGTCCTAGCCAGTAATCCTCCAAATAAAGATAAATAAAATCAAAAACAACCTTCTTGGTTTTTCTGCTGGTTCAGTGGGTTGTGTATTGCAATGACACATTGAGGTGTCTCACAGTGCTTCCAAGTAATTGCTGTCCATTTACACACAGCAAGGTCAAATAAATGGTCAATATTATCGGGAGGATTGTTAGCCGGGAAACCCGGTGAGGAATTCTGTTGTCTGCAGCAGTAATGGGATCTTTAACACTCGTCTTGAAAAGGCAGATAGACGTCAGGAGCTCAGTTTAATCCAAAGGAATGATGTGTGACAATGCATCACTTTCCCCCCACCCACTACCCTCACTGTGCCCTCAAATCTTCACCTGGGGCTTTAAACCACAAAGCCACCTGACGAAGAGGGGCGAGCGAGCCAAGACGTATTGGTTAGAGGACACGCCTTGCAAGCAAGAGTACCTGGGTCCGATTCCCGGGTGGAGAGAAGCGAAACATTAGGCGAGTTTCCTTACTCCCGCAAACCTCTATTGACCGAGCAGTAAGTAAGGAACTCGGTTTTTAGTCGATCGGCAGATCGCTTTTCCGGTGGAGGGGTGCAATAAATCCCTTAAAAACATAATTGGGTCACTCAATCCACGACAAAGCAGGGTCGCAATCGGTCGCCGTGTTTGGGCCCCCCCCCCCCCCAAAAAAAAATATATATATATACAGCCACTCCACGTTACAGTATATTTCTGCGAAGCGCTTCGAGAAAGTCTTGGGAGGAAGGATTGACAGTCTTATTGTTTCTCCCCGCTGAATGCCAACAGGGGGAGACACAAATTGTCAGTCAGTGGGGTATTTTTTTTCCCTTATTAACAGAGACCAGTTTTGCAGATCAGTCGTTTGAGTTAGAAGGCAAGAAAAAAAAAGAGAAAGCTGCTGCTGGTGCTGCTGGTGGTGGTGGTGGTGGTGATGATGATGATGATGGGGGAGGGAGTGGAATGGGTTGGTGGTGGTTGGATATAAACGATTGACGGAAATACGACATCACCAACGCCCCCAATAAGGGGGAAAAAAAAGTCTGTGTGTGTTTAAAAAAAAAGCCAAGAGCTGAAATGCATTCGTTGGAGACGATCGCATTCTCATAGCAGCAGCTTCTCCATCACCACTGTCCCTCCCAACACTGTGTGTGTTGCAATCAGCATCAGTCTCTCTGTCTGTCTCTCTGTCTGTCTGTCTGTATCTCTCTCTCTCTCTCTGTCTGTCTGTCCCACAGCATCAGGCAAAGCTCTCCATCCATCCATCCATCCATCCCTCCCTTTGCTCTTCTTGTTGTTACTCTTATTGCTACCGTCGATCTTTTGCCATCAGTGTGTGTGTGGGGGGAGTGGGTTCATTCTGCCCAAGTTTTACTGTTTAATTTAGTGTGTGGTGTGTGTGTGTGTGTGGAGGGGGTGGGGAGGGGGTGTGGGGAGAGAGAAAGAGGAGGATTTTTTTTTCCATTGCTTGTGTGCTCTGCATTCCATCCATCCACCCATCCATCCATCCATCTATTTATCCATCCATCTATCCCATCTTCTCTACCTCTTTATTCTTTCTGTCCTACTCTCCATCCATCGCCCCCCCAAATGGCTACGAAGATTAAGAAGGAATTGTGCAGAGAAGCGTACAACCGTGTGCGAGACGACAGCAGTGGGATTAGCTGGTCAGTCCCTGTGTGTGTGTGTGTGTGAAAAAAAATATAGATTATATAGATATATATATAGAGAGAGAGAGAAAGAAAAAGAGAGAGAGAAAAAGAGAGAGAGAGAGAGAGATAAAGCCTGAACTTCGTTCCCTTTCTCATCTAAAACTGCGTCTGATATGTCAGTGCCTCTCTTTCCCCCAATTTTCCAGGACGACCTTCAAATACGAAGGGAATACCATTGTACCTGATTCCGAAGGGCCACAGTATGACGAGTTTAAAACCAGATGCTCAGGTAATGGATGGATGGAGGGATGTGGATGGATAGATCGCTGGATGGAGGGATGGAGGGATGGGATGGGATGGAGGGATGGGATGGAGATGGAGGGATGGGATGGAGATGGAGGGATGGGATGGAGATGGAGGGATGGGATGGAGATGGAGGGATGGGATGGAGATGATGGGATGGAGATGGAGGGATGGGATGGAGATGGAGGGATGGGATGGAGATGGAGGGATGGGATGGAGATGGAGGGATGGGATGGGATGGGGTTGGCCAAACCCCTTGTGTTCTCTTGCCTTTGCTGTGGGAGGGGAGGCATTCCCCTCCCTGCTGTCTGGGTGTTTGTAAAGGCAACTGGCAATCTGTTCAGATCTTTTTTTTTGCTGGTTTATCCTGCTGGGAGGGAGGGAGGGAGGGAGGGAAGGAGGGAGAGAGGGATGGGATGGGGATAGGAGGGAGAGAGGTACAGGGAGAAGAGAGAGAGAACCTCTATACATTGTCATCATGTGATGGTTTGGTTTGTAAAACTCTTACCCCACCCCACCCCCCCCCAAAAAAAGAAACATTGGATGGATTAGTATTAAATCCTATGGAGGAAATTATAGGGTGTGTGTGTGTGGGGGGGGGGGGGGGTGTTGGTGTTTAGGGGGGGGACACAATTATTAAATAGGGTTGAGTTAAATACCAGAAATCTATGTGTGTGTGTGTGTGTGTGTTTGGGTGGTGGGGGGGGTGTGGGGGGGAAGAGAACACTTTTGACAGACCATTGCATGAAGGTGGGTGGGGGGGGGAAGCTGTTTGATTGAGACAGTTTACGAGCTACAAGCCATATTTTGGTATCTCCAGGGTTTCGAAGGAAGTATAACGCTGCACCCGGTCTTTAGTTTGTGTTTCATTGATCCAGTGATCCGTTTAATAAAAGTATAAATCACTAAAGCTGAACTTGTTTTCGGGGGGCGGGGGCGTGGGGGCGAGAGAGGGAAGGGTTTAAGTTAGCATTTTAGACGCTTCTCTCAGGACTGCACCAAAGTTGATTCCTTGCGAAATAAGAATCTCCCGTTGACCACATACAATCGATTTGCCCACGAAATACAGTCATTTCACTTTACCGTATATTCTGTGAAGCGCTTTGAGACATCTCAAAGACACGATAAGGCACTGTATTTAAATGCAAGGATTATACTAATTACCAATTGCATTTGCTTTTTGTCACTTAATATAATTTTCCGTGCGAATCTCTTTCTCTCTGCCCGCCCTCCCCCCCCCCCACCCCCAAAAAAAATACCTCCTGCACGAGTTGAAATATTATGTCAAAGCAGCCGTCCGTGACCAGCTGTAAAATTGCGAATTTCTTAAGGTGTGGCACTTAATTGAGTGGGAAAAAAAGTGTTGGGTTCAACCCAGAATTGCAAAACAAAGTGTTCCTCTCACTGCGCAATGTGCGACTGGAGGCAGTTTGCAAACTCGGAGTTGAAAACTTTGAAAGTTAATGGTGTCAGGTTATAACAGATCTGGATTTGAAGAGAATTGATCTTTCAGCATTTCCTAATGAGGCGTCTGTCCGCTTGCCATTTGAAACCAATACGTCCCGTACATATACTTCTCTCCAAGCAAGGAATTTGTAATGGTCACAGCCATAGATTCGGCCTCTTGTATAGGAGGCAGATGTAAAGGAGGGAGGGGAAAGCCTTTTTTTTTAGGAATACTCTTACAGAAAGACAACTCTACGTAATTTATCCACCTCAATTACTCTATAAGGGGCAGAGTTTAACCATTCTGCACGGTGATATCTCTTGGTTAGCGCTATGCTTAATAATAAATAATAATAATCCTTGCATTTGATATAGTGCCTTATCTCTCTTCAAGATGTCTCAAAGTGTAGTGATTGGATCTGGGGTGAAAGACACTGTGTAAATGTCATTCTAATAATACTAATCCTTGGATTTGATATAGTGCCTTATCACAAATAGTGTGCAATAGGCTGAAAACTGGGTTGTTTCTGTGTTTTTTTTAAAAAAATGGTTTAAGACCTTCCTCCTTTTTGACACCCCCACCCACCCACCTACTTGCTTACCTGTGGGGTGGAATGGGATGATGTCTTATCATTACTCTGTCACCAGCAGGTGGTGAGTGAGTGCAATGCCTCCCTCTTGTTTTCCTCACCTTGTACCATATGCAAAGGTGATCCTGCGGTAGAAATTGTTAACCCATCACCTTGTGCTAGCACCCGATTTCCAGAGAGCAGTTTTAACTCAATGCAGTAGATGATTATCTTAGCATGCAATCTCCCCCCCCCCCCCCCCCCCCGCACTTCCTACCATCGCTTTAAAATAAGCTCTTTCATTATGTTTCAAAATGCTATATGAATATATAAATTTGCAAATATGGCATAACTGTTTAGTGTATTGTAAGTTGACTAGTTCTGCCTCCTTCCCTGTGTGTGTGTGTGTGATTTCTAAATCAATGGGGCACCTAATAACACTGAAAATGATGGTTTTGGTGATGTTATTAATAATAATAATAATCCTTGCATTTGATATAGCGCTTTTCACGTCGGGAGGACGTCCCAAAGCGTTTATTTGGAGCACTGCTCTGCTTTGAGTATCTATACGTATATATTTTTTTTGCCCGATTTATTGGTAGAATCAAAACTCCCATTGAGTTCTAAACGTGCGCTGAAATATGTCCTGTGGTTGTGTCTCTGTCTCTAACATTCTGGTTGGTGGCCAGATGACAATAGATTATTTGCATTTGTACGGATTACCACTGGAGATGAGATGAGCAAACGATACAAGTTTGCCCTGATCACCTGGATCGGAGACAACGTCAGCGGACTACAAAGAGCCAAAGTGGGCCCCGACAAGAGTTTAATAAAAGACGTGGTTCAGGTACGTTCTTCAAGTTTGCTGAATCGTTTGCTTTTCGAAGCTTATTCAGTAACATTTAGATTTATACAACGTTTTATAGCACTTCTCACTTCGGGTGCACATCGCACTCAAATCACGTCACACAGGTGACTGGGCAGCCAAGCTTTTGGGGGTAGGATGGGGAAACTGAGGCCAGGAAAGTACTGTCAGAAAATAATCCCCATTTTTGTTCTTGGAAACAACTTCAAACATTTTCATTATTAACCCGTGGTTGTAAATATTGATTCAATTTTCCTGAGTGAACCGTGCAAACTATGGGGAAGTTCTCATTAGTCTATCTGACAATGGCTGTTAGCCATTTCCAATGATTATTTGGTGTTGCAAGCCATCCCATCTCCCATTGGAAAGGCTAAAATACGGAGTTAACTTTGTTTTTTGTAAAAAAGGGTTTTAGGCCTATTTAAAGGGCTATGTGCAAAGTAATAGCTAAACAGTTGATAATAAATAGTCCTTGCATTTGACACAGCACCCCATCACGTTGTCGAGACGTCTATCTTGTCACCTTCCTTGTCTGCACTCTTTCCACCCCCCCACCCCCACCTCACATATTCTTTGAGTTATGCCAATATATTTTATTCTCACTTGTGTTGGTTTGTTTAATTTTCACGACGTTATTTATTCACCAACATAACAGCGCTGCAATTTCCCGTGCACTTGTGCTCCTGAAGTGAAAGGAGCTCATCTCAAATGCAAGGATTATTATTATTAATATTAACATTAATTATTAATGTCTTCAGAGCTACAGACCAGGCCAGGAATGCTTTGCAGCAGGCATGACCCATTGAGCCTGGAGTAGATTTTCACCCAAACAAAAGTGAGCTGTTGGTGATTTGACTGGCTCAATAATGAGTTAATTGCTGATAAATCAAATAGTTTTTACGGTATTTGTGCTCAGCAGTCAGCCCAACCCATTCTTGTTGTACCCAATGTTACTCATGTGCCAGCTTGGCTCCAATTGAAGCACTCTCGCCTCTGGGTCAGACAACATTTAGTGGGTATCACCTTCACTTTACTTGAATTATATGTGCTTCTATTTGTGAATCACATATCGAATTCTAAGCACTTTAAAACAGTGTGACTGTGTGTGTATTCTGTGGGTGAATGCGGCAGCCAATTTCCATGTAATGTCCTAGTAATTAATCCACAGCCACTTTGAAGACTGAATTTGTCTGAGTATGGCTTCCATAATGCCATATGAGCCAAAGATAGGCCATATTATTAAAATATATATATCGCATTTGGGAAGAGTTTAACTGGGGATTGTTTTGAACTTTACCGTAGCCTTGGAGGAACATTTGGGGGTTTGATGGTCGAACATAGTGGAAGTTGTAGCTTTTAAACATCATTGTCTTAATAACAGAAGTTTATTTTTACATACGTGTATCATCTGGAGCATGCAGGATGTCAAGGCATTGTAAGCTCCAGGGTCTGTCTGTTGTACTTTGTGAAATGTAAATCTAACATCCTGTATTTTCTTGCTCTGAGACGGGCCTGATTTTTTTTCAATTATTAATTTCCTTTTTTTTAATAACAAAGCAAAGTAACAGTAAGAACTTGCTGTGATGTCGTCTTGACTACTGCCTATGAAAATTTGACTTGAGATATTCCCAACAACAAGTTGAATTAGAATGGCACCCTTCACATGGGGTAATGTCTCAGAGCGCTGAAACATGCAATGATCTGATCCACATTTATTTGTATTGCAGTTTGTGAGGTGAGCTCTATTGTACAGGATACACTCACTCACAGGCTGGGCTTGTTGAAGTATAAATGAGCAATAACGTCCAACATAGACTGAACGGTTTTATTAGCAGTACAGCTTAAATGGCAGAACCACTCTTCTCTTAATATTCCTGCAGCCCCCCCCTTGATTGCCATTCTGTGTTTTCATTGTAATTTGAAACTAAATTAATGGCACTCTTGAAGCTACGGTAATGGCAGTGTTTGCAGTCTGCAGTAGACAAGTAGAACACTCCCAATTAGGAAATTACAACAACTGGCTGGAATCTAGTCATCCGTGTTAAAGCTTGTTTAGTACTGTGAATTTTATATGGTAAACTGAGTTTCGATTTGGCGTACAAACTAACTGTGCATAGCAGCAGCAGGACACAACCTGCTTCGTACTGTCAGGGAAAAATCTGTACTCTGTGAATTAGCATGAGTGTCAGGCCTCAGCAGAAAGCAAACCAGGTTGGATCACACAATGCAGCTTTTGTACCATATGATAAACTGGTTTTAAATACAGCTGGTGTGAAATTTCGAATTGGTAGACAGACAGACAGACGGGCTTGGTCATTTTCTTTCAGTGAAGAGCCTTATTGAGTTTTCAAGCACTCCATCTACGCTCTCAAAGCTTTTTATTAATTCTTCCATTTTGATTCTGAGTGTTCATGTTTCTATTTTGAGTGAACCTTCGTGCACTCCTCTTTTGATCCCTCTGTCCAACACCCCCCCACCCACCACCCCCATAAAAAATTTGCAGTACTTCGCAAAGTTTTCCTCTGTGCTCTATGCAAAGTTTATAAATTAGATACCTCGAAATCACAGATTTGGTTCACTTCTAATATGGCTTTATAAATAATAATACTTGCGTTTGATATAAAAATTATATAATTGCTATAAAAGGATAATTTACCCTTATTTTCGTCTCTTTTCCCCCCCAGGCCCCCAGCATCTGGGAATAAATAATTCCCCTTCCTTGTAGTTTTTCCCAAGGGGTGAATAGCGATGTGATCATGCGGAAGTTTTCAAACGGATTACCTTTTGGTTAGAGGGGAACTGGAACAAATGTCCATTAATAGTGTATCTTCATGCTTGAGAGAATGAATGCGTTCTCCTGTCAGATCGCTCTTCTGGTGTTGGAGCCTTGGGTGTGGAAGAAGTTATTTCCACACAAAGAATAGTGTTTCAATGCTTTCTTCATTCTCACTATTTAGATTTGTGCAGGAGCTAAAGTGTTATTCCAAACAGTTTTTGGATTTGAATGTTACCGAGTGAAGTAAGCAATGAAGGGAGCTCTCAAAATCTTAATAAACTTATCAGTCGGGGTTCTCTACTTAAGAGCAGGGAAGCAAATAACTTTGAAAGCTAGTATTCCGTCACTTAACGCAGGATGTGGACTGAATGGCAAATAACTGAATAGAAGCAGAAAATGCATTCATTCAAACCACAACTTTGACAATTGTAACCATTCAGTTGTTTTCAGTCACCACGAAAATTGCACAGTTTCGTGTAACAATCATCCCCATTTCCATGTGGCGCTTTATCATGTCTTCGAGACGTCTCAAAGCACTTCACAGAACATACTGTAAAGCGAATTGACCGTATATTTTGTGGGCGCAACGTGGCAGCCACTTGCGCATCAATGATTTTGCATTTCACTGTTGTAAGTGAGTTTGGTGTGTGTGTGTGTGTGTGTTGCAGAACTTTGCAAAGGAGTTTGTCATCTGCGACCAACGAGAACTGGATGAGGACTACATTAAACAGGAGCTGAAGAAGGCTGGAGGAGCCAACTATGATGGACAGGCTGCCTACGGTGAATGACGTGTGTGAGCAGCGGTGCATCTGCTGTGGCTATGGGGTGTGGAGGAAGTCGGAAATCCTGTATAACTGCCCCTCCACTCATATCAAGCTCCAAAGGACTTGTACTCATTCAGCTTCGTGAATACCCTTTAAATTTAGTTTGGAGGTGCATGTGGCAGTCTGGCAGGCACAATCAAAAGCTTTTCATTGATATTGTTCGGTCCTGTTTTTTTTCTTAACCCCAATTGTTAAGCCTGTTTTTCTTTCCAATTAAACGGCCCAAGGAGAAGGTTTCTAGTTTTTGTTTCAACTTTTCTATGCAAGTTTTCCGAGGCTCCTTGTCTGGGATGGGGGTGGGAGGGAGTGGGGAGGGAGAGGAATGTATGTGGTGGGCTTAAGGAACAAAAGCAAAAGATTATTTAAACCACTGCAGAATAAACTTTTTGAAAAATAGAAGCAAGAGCCTGCGTTTTATTTAAAGCAAACCAGTCTCCTCTTAGCTCTTGATTTTGTTTTCCAGACAGGGGACTCTTTAAGTAGCACATTGCAGCCCTGTGATATCACAAGATTGGTTTGGATGAAGAAGGCCCTTCAGCCCATCTGATATCATCCCTCTAGAATACTCACCTCTGTCGGTCTCCCATCAAGCTGCTTTTAAATGAGTCCCAGTGTCCTGGTCTCAACTACCCCTTCCTGGCTATGTGTTCCAGTTGTTAATCACTCTCTGGGTAAAGGAAAAACGTCAAGGTGTCTATCCTGAAATGAGAACATCTGTTAGTGATATTTATCTATTCCTGTATATTCAAAGCTGCACCACTGCAACTACATGAAAACTGCATTTGTTCCCTTGATGTATCTTGCAATGAGATCTAAGAGGCATGTGGGGTAACTCAATTCTTCACGGGTAACCTCCAGGCAAAAGTAGCTAATATCTTGCACCTCTGGTTTGCACACATACTGGGCTATTGGAGGTAATCGGTTTACCTACAACTAAGGTACAGGAAGCAATTAGATGGAGTGCTTTTTGCTTCTGTAATAAAATCCACTGTGTTTTGAAGGTATAATAATTATTTGAATTTCTTCAAGGCTGAAGTGCATTAGCCTTCAGTATTCCTGCCTGCCCAGTTAATTTGTGCATTTTGGTAATGATAATCTGATCCCCTCGGGACAATTCTATGTTGCATGCGATTTATAATCCTTGAAGGAGCTGCACTAATTAAACCGATTACAAATTATCTTGTATCAATCCTTTCGCACAGTGTCAACTAAGCTGACACGAGAACGTTTCCATTTTATTTATGAACAGTTGATGAAGTCCAAGCAGATCCTTTTAGGTTTTTTTTTACTATGTGGGGAAGGGAAGGGGAATTGATCCAAGTTTTGTTTGATATGCAGAGTTGATAGGATGTAGAATGTGTGTGTGTGTGTTGGTGTGTAGACAAAGATAGAATCCATATTAGCTTCCAAGGGGGAACTAGATAAATAGCTAAAAAGGAGTCATTTATGGGGGAAAAACATGGACTGAATGGACTGTTCTTTCCAATAGGCAGCACAGACACGATGAGTCAAATAGCCTTCTGTGCTGTAAACTTCTATTCTTGTTGCATTTTGCCCACAAAATATACAGTTAATTCTCTTTACAATTCTCTTTGAAGCTCTTTGAGAGGTCTCCAAGACGTGATACCGTGCTATTATTATTATTAATAATTGTCATTTCACAGCATATTGCTTTTGAGTGTTTTCTAACGGGGAAAAATATATTGTTTTCATATAAACATAGGCAAACGAGTAGAGGGAAACGGTTGCAAGTGACATCTCTTCCTTTGAGAGATTTCCTCTCAGCAGCACAGTATCCTCTTTCCACATCTGGCAACTTGGCTTCAGCTCTGGCTGATCAACCGGGCAGCAGAAGGTCAAATAAGAAAACCAGTGGAGGCTTTTCTCTCTGGCGTTTTGTGCTTGATTCATTTGAGAAATCGAAACTGTTCCAATAACTTTATAAACGTCCAACGAAGAATTCTGCATGTTAACCTCAGAACCGAAATGGAATGTTTTATTGAAAAAAGGCACTAACGTGACCATGATGATATGACTTTAATTAAACGGAAGGATAATTCCACCAGTAAATATTCTAAATGATTGGGCATTTAGCCATAGGCTTTTGCCTTTACCCTGTCTATACGATTTTGGTGCGGTTAGTAACTATCTGCGTCTATCCATGGTTGGGTCTGGGGTGATGTCACCTAAGGGGAATCTTTCCGTGGACCCGCTCCTTTGAGTGTCTGTTAAATATTAGTTCTGGACCCAGGGGATCTGTGCGTGCGTGCTTACAGGGCTGCACGGAGAAACTTTGTGCCAAGTAATAAGCCGAGAGCAGCACTGAAATCCGTGGGTAAATACACATCAGTGACACCTAGTCAAGAAAGCATGCTCTCCTTTTAACTCACAAAACAATAGTGAGTGCCTGCAAAGGTGGGTTAGCAGTAGGGCTATTACATTTGCCTTTGAGAACCCATTCCAATTCTCTCTCAGTGAATTGGCTGGGTCTCTTCCTAGCCTGGGTATAAGGGTAGCGGTTGATATTACAGGACGATGAAGCAGCAGGGAAACCTATTCCATAAGACACGTAGCTTCCACTGTCCAATACTAAATATCCTTGGTAGTAGACTGCCTTGGCTTACCAGCCCATTGTGGTCAGAGAGGAGATGGTAAACCAGAGAAAGGGACTTATAATGGGTTGAATCCAGAATCAGCGAATAAAATCCAGAATTGGGCTCCAATGCCCTGGAATACTATTTCCCATCACATCCACACGCTCGCTCCTTGAGTGTTGGGACAATCAACATCTCTGCAGTTGATGCCAATGATGTTGCTAAGATCCTCGTGGAGGTACAATTCTGTCCTAGTAATAATAATAACACGTGCCTTTGATACCACGCCTTTCACATCAGGTGGACATCTCAAAGCGCTTCACAGGATTTACTGTAAAGTGTAGCGACTGTATTTTGTAGGCAAACGCGACAGTCAATTTGCGTAATCACCCACAAGCAGCCATGAAGTGAATGCTCGATTTTATCTGGGGGATTGTTGGCCAGGAAACCGGAAGAAACACCCTGCTCTCTTTGAATAGCGCAAAAGGACCTTTAATGTCCACATGAATAGGCACAGACGGGACCTTGGTTTAACGTCCACCCGAGTAGGCAAACTCCCACTGGCTCATGCCAACTAGTGGAAAGCTCACTGTTCTCCTGGCCTCGGGCAGATGGAAGGAGCTTGATCAGTTGAGCGTCCTCTTCAGTTTCCATGTTTTTCTCTTACTGTTCTGTTCCCAGAGGTTTGTGCAGCTCGGCAGCTCATGTTGTCGTGGCAACATATTCTTCCGAGTTGTCTTCACAGCGGCCGAGATGGGGCTGAGTGCAGGCAAACCTGGATTTCGCTTCAAGGTTATATAAAAATGAACATTAAAAATAAAAGCAGCCTTGGGAGAAACGAAGTCAGGTCACCACTGACTGAATTGATGCCGACACACAAAGGGAACAGGACAAGAGGTGATAGATTCAGGGATACGGAGAGCAACTTTTGGGCAGTATTTCTTTACACAGAGGGTGATAAACACACCATATCACCACTAGCAGAGTAGGAATTTGTGAGACCAGCCAGGGCAGGGGAAGTGGCCTTCATTACTATGAATGGGAGTCTCTCCTAGTATCCGAGCCAGCAGTCCCCCAGATAAAATTGGGCATTCGTTTCGTGGCTGCTCGTGGGAGATTGACTGCAAGTTGACTGTCGTGGTTGCTTTCAACACCACCCTTTTCTCATTCCGACATGTCACCTCTTAAGCTACAAGAGGGTACAAGATCCCCGCATGACAACGCTCTACATGGGTTCTCTTCCGCAATCTGTTTGCTGGTGGAGCCCAACAACAAAGCATTGTTATTGCTTCCCAGGCCACAGATGGTGCGGAGAATAACAGAAGTTCATTAAATAAGACTGGAATCCGCGAGCAAATAACAGTCAACGTCGAGCACTGTCTGGAAACAGGGAATGGGGAACTGTTGTTTAGTTTAGCGTCGATACGACTAATTCACATGCTTTCCTGGAGGACACAGTGGCATGACCAGAGTTCTGTAACAATTAGAGAGTGTTTGAACTTAATTTTTTGTAGAGCGTTACCACAACTTAATACATTCAGAACAACATTTTTTCTGTTAAACATTAGTACTATATTCAGTGGAAATCTAATGAAGATAGTTTGGCTACTTTGTTAAGATCTGATGGCACAATAGTTGACTTGAAACAACCGCTCATCCCTTGTGACCGCATTAGAGTCAGCCTTGGTGGAAAATAAAGAGTTTTTATGTGAAGTCAACGTAACGGGCANTTTTTTTTCAAGGCAATAAAACCGGGGGAACCTTGCTCGACTATCGTCATAGTGAGGAGAGCAGCTCACTCTTTTAAATGTTCGTTTCTAATTTTCTCAATCTCTGAAGGGAACTGGAATAATTGTTTTCACCAATCTGGGGCAGCAAGCTCTGAAATGATAATAAGTTTCCAGGGGACTTCAAACCTCACAGTAAAACACCGCTCGCAACCTGGTACACTGAGACCGGAACAGGAGCAGAATTAATTGCACTGTACCCTTTAAACGCTTTGTGGTTTGATGCCCACAAAGGAATGGCAAAGGAGTTTCATCAGCCAGCTACTTCAAAGAAGCAGAGTAAGAGTCAACAAATTCACGATAGTTAAAGGGAATTTCAAGACAGTCAAGAAGAAAATATTTCTTTATTTACAAGGGCAATTGGCAGCTGGAACTCAGTGAGGCCAGACCATTTAAAAACAGCTTGTTGCTATAGAAGATAGTAGGTTTGGTATCCTGGAAGGATGAGACTGCATGGGCCCCAGATAGCTACTTTATCCAAACCTCTCTTGCGATTACTGCCTCGCCCTGAAAATCAACGTGTGCAAAGTGTTAGGACTAAATTTGGCACTTTGCTCTATTTCATTTTCTGATTGCTTTACAATAAAAGCCGTGAATCGCTTTTAGACATCTTGCCTACATGAGAGATGCTATACCAGATGCAAGGATGATTAATTCATTATTATTATTATTGTGAAGAATAACAAAAGCAAAATCTATGCAGGAGGACATTTTCTCGAATGCGCCTCCATTTAATTCATTGTCACTTAAAAATGGCAGTTACGTCAAGGAAGAAACAGCAACAACTTGCATTTATATAGCATCCTTCACGCAGGGTAGCGTCCCAGAGCAACACCCCTTATGCTCTTATGCTCATGAGTCACAAACCCTGTAGATTGATCACTGGGACCTGATCGGATGAGCTATAAGCAAAGGAAAACAAGGAAACTGCTAACAAAAGCTTCTTCCAGTGACATTAAAGGCTCCTGTATTGATCACTGCAGTAGAAAACTACAAAGGAGCCCAGGGAATGTAT